ATCACACCCCCGGACGTCGCAGCGGCAAAAACGGCCATTTTTATTTGTCGTTTTTTTTTTTTTTACGTTCTCATACGCATATTATATTATACGACGACTACAATAATTCAAATGTCCCCTTTTTGCGTTTTCGACCAGTGCTCGACCCCCACGCCGCGCGTATTGTCTTTCCGACGCCATTTTGTACCGTCGCGGAGACCAAATATATTATCATTATTATAATTTATAAAATGACGTCAGACGGGTTCAAAATATTTATCTGATTTTTTTTCTTGGACGTTCGAGACGCACGTCATCGCCACCGTTGTTTCGACGTTAAATTCGATACTTAGTGACTTTATCGCTGGAACAGAGAACAATCTGTAACCATAAAATACGTTCCACGATATTTTCCTAATGATTTAATTTTAAAAAAAATACTAATTATTTTTAAGACAAAAAAAAAAAACCGTCTGGAACGGGAAAAACAATTATGTACCGGATTTCAATTAATGGCCGTACAATGACCAAACGAATAAAAAACTTTCGGTTCATGAAATTTGTACTTTTTACCATACGACTTAGTTAATTAAGTATATTGATTATACGTATACATAATATACATTAATAACCAATTGATTTATTAATGTATATTTTATACTTGGTATTTTTTTAGATTCTGAGCGGATCGAGGAATGTATTGGTTTTACAATGGTGTTTATTCGTGTGTAAACGTTTTTTCCGCCAGAAAATTTATTCCGTTTATCGAGTATAGCACCAATTCAGAAAGGAAATGTTCTATGCGAGGTACTTTAGAGTGAAATTCGTGCAACGGTCGAGAGTCCGAGAGCGAAACGTCCGGTAACGGACAGCAGCAAAACGCACACGAACTTGTTACACGTGTAGCGTTACGGAAGAGCCGCGTTTCTATACACAATGTGGGTATATCGATGTGTGAAAATGTCGGACTTTCTAATATTTTCAAAAGCGCGCGGTACGCTTATAATACCTATCCCGCATTTATTATATAGCCGTATACATCACCGTCACGTATATTATCTTTATAAATATCGCGCGAAATATATATAATCGAATTATCGCCCGGCCCCTCGTGTCGCGGCGCGTCTATATTATATTCGGATAGCCGATATATTATATTATTTATACGAGACCTGCTCGTAATATACGCCGAGACGAAGACGACGTGTCGGCATCACAGATCATTGGACGCGTCCGGGCGCTCGTAACAAAGTTAAACTAACCGAACAAATTTCCACTGCGGCGTTCTTTTCCCCGAGTCTTCTTATTAGCCGGGTCCAGATAACGAAATTTTCGCGAATCCTAACCCCTTCGGCGGCGGAGCGTTAAAAAGCAAACGCAATTACCGATACGTACGCCGCCGCAGCTACCTATATGTTATCCGTCCGTCTCTCTTATTACAACACGGTTCACCCGGCCAGCGGCTCATGAACGTCCCTGCGCGGAATCCCCGATAACGGAAGAAAAAAAAAAAAAATGATATTTTCGCACGTTCGCGTTTACACCGCCGCCGCATTTATCACCGAAAATTACTAAACTGTGTACAACGTATTAGGTTATACATATATTATGACAGCCGGAGGGGGGGGGGCTCGATAAAAATACAGAGAATTTCGTTATTCGCCATCGTTTTTTTTTTTTTTGGAATTTTCGCGCACGTCGCGCGGAATGAATTCGGCGATTTCGGCGTGAGAAATATTATTATTATTATTTATTGTCCGCACGGCGAACGCGTATAATATTTTCGGCAAAAGCAAACCCGTGCGCGCGGCGTACAACACGGCCGTGTATACTATTAGGTATGCCCGAGTGTAATCATAATAATATAATAAGAGAAGAGAGACGGAGTGGTTGAGAGAGAGAGACGTACAGCACGTTTTCGATCGTCGTCGCACTGTACGCGCGAGGATACAAAGGATACAACGCGCGAGAGGCTGCGGGGGCAGGTTTTTATATACATTGTAGACGCGGGGTAGTTATCGGGCAGGAGGAGGAGGAGGGTTGGAAACGGTCGCGGTGAAAAATACCTTAGGTCCGGATGAATGAACGCGAAGAATGGGGACACGGCGAAGAACAAACATCGCCGCGGAGCTGCAGTGCGTACACGGTGCGAGGTTATGCCCCGGGTATATATTATGCGCGCGTATATAGCGATGATGATAATAATAATAATATATTTCGGCGGGTATACACGGGTAGGCGGTGCACCTGGAAATCCTCCGGTTGTGTGTAAAAAGAAAAAGAAAAAAAAAAAAAAAATGAAAAAAAGCGCGAGTGGTCGTCCGCCGCATTACAAAAACGCACGCGCGCGCGCCGCATTACAAAAACGCACGCGCGCGCGTGTATCGTGCGTGCGTGCGTGCGTGCGTGCGTGAGTTAATGGCATCGCCGCCGCGCCGGCAGCAGCCACCCCCGTGGATGATGCGAGCGCGCGGTTCCAAGGTCGCCGGGATTTCGTAATAATATAATGATAATATTACGCCGTAATGTACCCCATTATTGTGTGTCGTGCGGCCCGGACCCGCTTCCAGCCGTGCGCGCGCGATAAATGCGATATTATATTATTATTGAAATATACGCGTAACCGCCGCTCGTACCGCGGGCGGCGGGACGGACGACGCGAGAGAGACGGAAAAATATACGAAAATTCCGATCGTTACCGGCGTATATTTTGTCCGTGCCCGGCGCAATTACCTGCGGTACCGCAATATCCGCCCGCGTACGCGCAGTACGACGGACAAGCGGAGTCTCCGTGCGGCCCGCGCGTCTCGCGTCCGTTAGTCGCGGTTTCCGAAACCTCCCCCGCCGACAGTGTCCGCGTCCGAGACCCGCGCGATATTTTTCACTCCGCGGCCGCGTTTCCGTCGATTCGTCGAGCGACCGACGTCGATGTCGGTTTTTACCGCCGCGCGGCACAAACGCGTCAGATTACGTTTTCTCGCCCCTTTTTCACTACCGCGGACATCTCTCTCCGCTATTCGACCTGTACGCCGTTCACCGTCGGCGGATTTTCATCCGATCGGCGCGCGATAAGTGGTGGTCGTCAACGATTTCGGCGATTTCGATTTTTTTTTTTTTTTTTGCGTTTTTCTTGTGATTCGGTTAGAAACGTTCATATCCGGTTTCATAACAACGCGGATACAGTCGTTTTAGCCGAGCGGATTTTGAACGAAGTTCATCGTGAGTTTTAGTTAGTTTGAAAAAAAAAATCAAAAAAAAGAGGCACGCGTAAATGTAATTGTTGTCAATTTTATAAAAGCTGTTTTTAAGTCGGAATTTTAACGTAAAATGTTATAATCATTGCGGTTTCCTTAACAAAAGGGAAAAATAAGTGGCAATTTATCGTGGTTTCTGGGTTCGCTTGACAACAAGAGAAAAAAATACGACTAATAATGTTCTGCTCAAAATCGTTTCCCGTTGACAATGGCTTATCGTCGCGTACAAAATTAAATTAATCTACGTTTCCTCCCTTCCGACGTCCCTCCTAAACCAGCGGCACACCCGTCAGTAGTATTAGCTCTTTGTTTTTTTTTATTTTTTTTTCCGTCATCCATGTTGTGGCATCGTTTCGCATCGCAATACACAAGTATTATTATGTGGCGACAACTGATAATACGCCGTACGGTGCGAGGGGACCCGTGTGAATATTTCTGCGTTGAAAAGTTACGTGACAACGATAACGATAATACACGCGAACGTATAACGAAGAAAATCGTATTTAATTTCGTATTCAAAACGCGGACGTGACGTAACGAGCGCTCGAGTCTTTGGAAAACCGTCGGTGGCGCAGCCGGGAGTCGTATAATGATCTGTGTCCGATCGATTAAATCGTGTTTTTTTTCCTTTTTTTTTCGTTTTTTTTTTCTTCTTTTAAATACGGTTACCGCCGCAGCCGACGAATTTGTTAATTTCCATAACGATTATCTATACACAGCGCAGCTCTCCCGGCCCCGACCACGACGGATATACACTCATTATTATCTGTATACATATATATAGGTATATTACTCAATATTATATTGTTTTCGCTAATTATTACGGGGAAAAAAACGTCCGCGGTAATAGCGCTCGCGTATATATATATAAAAAAACGGATTGCGGATAGTTAAATATACGCGCGAAACAAAAGACGCCGTTCCGTCCTCCGTCTCACTCTCTCACACGCACTCTCTCTCTCTCTGTCGCTCCTTCCTGCGCGCAGCGACGGTCTGCTGTTCCTCCTCCGTCACACCCGGTCGCCGGGAAGATAATAATAATAATAATAATAATAATATTGTTATTAGGTATTTCTGCGTGTGCCGGGCGGCGATAATAATTTAGCACCGTGTCGTCGGCTAAAAGAAGAAGAAAAAAAAAAAACCCAACACAACCGCGATATCGTATAATGTCATACCCACACACGGACCGCGCGTACCACTCGACACGACACGACACGGCGGCGGCGGCGGCGGCGGCGGTTCGGTTGAAAAGGAACACGATGATCGTACACGTATACGCGTTATACAACACGCCGTATACGTACTTATTTACGTACGGAATACGTACGCGCGTCCGCACGAGTGTACGGACCCGGGGGAAAAAGTGGTAACGTTTTATTAATTACGCGCGAATAATATATTTTATAAAGACGTACGCGCCTGCACGCGCGGCGGTGCGCGGTACGATATTATGTACCGTACGGCGGCAGTACGCGCGGACGCGGGCGAGGCGCAGCCGGACGCGGTTTTTTCGTATTTCTCTCGCGCCTAACAGCGGGCGGAGGCCGGTCGACGGTGTGCCCGGCAACCGGGTGTACGGTCACGGGGGAGGGAGGAGGGGGGGGGAGCGTACGGGGAAAACCGCGCACGGCTCCGGCGCGACGCGCCTCGTTTGTTCGGCGCGATCGGCCGACGACGTCGTTGGCCAAAGTCCAACGGCGGCGGGCCGCACGACTCTTGAGCGCGACGCGAACACGACGGCGGCACAATAATAAACCCGCAACCCTAACCGGCGAAACGGGCGAGCGCGCGCGCGCGATATTCGCCGACGGCAATATCGTCGCTATTGTTCGCGTTTCGCGGGCACGGGAGTGCGGATTCGCCGTGTTTAGATTCTGGACGATGCTCGGCGTGTATTCTGTAGTGCAGATACACCGCGGGAAACGTATTGCGGGACCGCTCCGTTTGTACGATTTCTTTTTTTTTTTCATCGTTCACCGACAACAATGGGGAATCTGTTTTCTCAATACTTTCCCCGCCGCCGCCGCCGTTTATCGACGACTGCAGTCTGTAATTAACCGTCAATTCCGTATACCGTTTTCCGCCCTTTGCGGGGACAGGCATTCGCGTGTATCGTTAAATATCCCGAGTAACCATAGTGGCTTAACCTAACTTGTCGACTGTGTACAAGGGCCGAAGTCCTCCTGGCCCGGTTACGAACCAGGAAGCCCAGTACGCCCATTCTCTAAGCCACCCCGTTTGCGGAATCCGTCGGCTACGCTCTTCTTCTCGGCGTGGGCGTCCTCCGACCCGAACGGCCGTTCCCATGTGAATCGTTCGTCTAGCAACCAATCGACCATCGCTTCTTTATCTGGTCCGTACACCGAACACGTCATTTTATGATTTTCCAAGTGGTTTTCTTTGCAAAAGGAAAAACCAGCATATTTTTTGTCGATTTCTGGGTTACGTTTGGGTCAGAAAAAATACGACTTATCGTATACTCTGCTCGGAATCGTTTTCTGTGAGCAATGCTTAATTCGGCATTCAATTACTTTTTATCGTATCCTCCTGTCCGGCTTTCCTCATAAGACAAAATATGCTAGAATAATACAATCGTCAGATGGCGTCGACGACCGCAGAACTGTATTATAATACTACGGTTCCCAAAAGAGACGAATCGATCATACAGTCCGACGGGAAAAACGATCGGATGGGAAAAAAACCGAATACACGCGTTCACCGGAAGAGGAATAATAAAATATAAAAAAAAAAATACATCAAAGATACCTATAAGTATCGCGTCGGTCGCGAGAGAATACGTAATATTATTATTGTTATTATCATGTTACGTGTGTTATGACGCGTTCGCGGGAGGGGGGAATTGAATCGTGGTAAATCGCGCGACATTGAGATCGGTAAGAAAAACGTGGTAAAAAAAAAATTAAAAAACGTCGATGGCGGCGGCGGCGGCGTTTGTCTTTGTGAATAATCATCGCGTTGCCGGTCGTTGAATTGATTTTTTTTTTTTTGTTCCTTTCGGTATTCTCGCGCGCGTCCGATCGAGTGAGTCCGAATACCGCCATCACATGGCCGAATCTCCGGCTGCCGCACACGTATACGTATACCATTAGGTATAGTGCGTATTTACGAGAGCGTATAGAATACAAAACCGAAAAGAAATGAAAAAAAATACTGACCGGCGGCGACCGTGGTGGCGGCGAGGATGAAAATCCGTAACGTGTAGGTAATCGCGGGACTAATGGGTGCGCGCGATGATTGGGCGAGCACACGATAGTTTTTCGGGTAATACACGCGGTCCGCGGAGAAGGAGAAGACGATATTTGTACAGTGTGTGTGTGTGTGTGTGTGTATGTGTGTGTGTGTATGTGTGTGTGTGTGTGTGTATAGGTACGATAAAATGGTAATGTACGTAGAGGGAACGTAATTATGCGAATCGCGCGGTATCGGCGGCGGCGGGGGCCGAGCGGTTGGCCAATGAACCTCCGAGTGCGCGCGTGTGCTCTATGAATGACGACGCGTCGATGATCCGCCGGAATAATAAATAAAACGAACGGACTGTGAAGACAGAAAAAAAAATTAAACAAAACCGCCGAATACCAATAATAATACACAAGCGACGACTGTAAAATAGTGAAAAAACTTTGGACGTCGTCATCGCGGTCCTGCCAAACCCGCACGGGAGAACTCCGAGAAGTTAATAACCTAAAACGGTTTTTTACAGCATTGATACGATTAATGTTCAGCTTGTTGAATCCGTCCATCTAGAGTTCAGATTATGAAACCACAAAAGAAAATTTGTTATTTTAAATATTTTAGTGAATTTAAATTGAATCCCTATAGTACAGTGTTTCTGAACTGATGATATGATAGACGGGGAGGGAGGGACGCGAGCGTCAAAGCCCTCCGCGGCTCTATGTTGAGAAAATTGTTTAGACTAGATTTAGTGAATTGACAATGTCGGTTTTAAGTAAGTGACGAGCATTTTCAAATTACGAAATTTCACATACTATCGTATTGTGTCCCGTATTAAAAACTAAAAAATTTAAAAAAAAAAAACCTCTACGCGCGAGAAACGTTCTCGTCTTCAAGTTTGACGAAACCGATCGAAATCCAAGACGACGCGTGTCGATATCGAAAACTGAAACGTGTACGCCTAATAAATAGGCCTGACGGGCGAACGGACGATCCGTAGCGCGCATTGTTATTACGCGGCGTCGTCTACGCCGCAAAGGTCTACGGACATCGGATATGGGACCGATAGGTCTACGGCATAATGATAACGCGTATTGTTGTTATTGTTGTTATTATTATTACGTACGAGGTCCGACGGCCGGCGAACGCGACGACGAGCCGCGAAATCCGATCGGATAAAAAAAATCGTCGCGCGGTGAAAGCGGCCGGCCAAAATTCGGCAATATCCGTTACGGTCCGGTTAAACGAAATATTTCCCGGTTTTGTGCGTATCTCTTTTCCCCGTCAGCATTTTATATCGTTTCGCGATTTACAATAATAATAAATCGATTTCGTCGGTTCGAAAAAATCGCCGGCCGAACCGTACGGTCTTTTATTCTTCTTCTCGCGCCGCCGCTCGGAATTTTATCGGACGCAACACCCCGGTGATAACAATAATAATATATTACGGCGCGCGGCTCATATAGTACGGAGGTTTATTTTTTTATTTTTTTATTTTTTTTTTTTTTTTCTGCACGCGTATACAATAATAATTCAATCTCGGCGACGACGATTAGTTTACAGAGATAACCCGATTATTATATATTGCGTTTTGTAACGTACCCGTACGCGTACGGACCGGACCGGACGTAAAGGGGACTGCACGAGCCCGTTTATTATAATTTATACACGTTTTACAATTATATATTTATATCGTACGTGTATTATAATAAAATAATATTTTACGCGGAGCGTACGTATTATTATCATGTGTATATACATAATGTGCGCGTATACAAATACGTGCGGTGCCCCACTATTCCCGTTTCCCACCCGCCCACCGCCGGTAGGATTTCAAATATACACCTATACAATATTGTTATAATTTTATATTATGACGCGTCGCCGTGTTGTATATTGCGATATTATAGAGGTACCTTATATCGGTCTGTTTTTTTTTTTATTAATATTATTTTTATCTCCTCCGCGGCAGACTTACGGCTCTCGACGCGACCGCTCGTATATGCAGTTACTGGATCACCGCGCGTGTGGGTATAATAACTTAAACCGCACGAATCTCTCTCTCTCTCTATATATATATATATATATATAGATGTAATATGTACATTTAACATATCGGGCGATTGTTTTAGGTTAATGGTTAATATCCTCCGTCCGTCTGGTAAAAAATGCGACTATCGCTGGTGTTCAATCGGTTCAAAACTTTGAAGAAATGTATACGTTCCGTGCTATGATAGTTGTACGAGGAAAAATTCGATTTACCCGATAATCGAACCATTGAATGCGCGCAGTTAAGTGGGACGAAGACGAATATTCTATACGGTTATCGCTGAATCGTCCGGGCATGCCCCCCCCTGCCGTCAAATATCTACCTATGCTCGCTATAGTAAAAAATCGGCCGATTCCTATGGACGATATTCGCGGACATCGCGGGAGATTCGCGAGAGACTGCGGCGTTCGAAACGAGAAGTCGGAGCAAAAAAAAAAAATAAAAAAACATTCGAACATTTTTACAAATCGGCCGGCCCGGCGGCGCGGACGCTTCACGCTGTGCGACGGATAAAATTTACCGCCAAACGGCCGCGGCGGTGCGGACAAGACGTGAAATATTAACGCGTGCGTTCCGTTTGTTTTTTCGTCGTCGTCGTAAACAACAAAAACCGTCCGACCTCGTCGTCGGGATTTTCTCGCGTATACCAACAAAAAAAATAAAAAAATAAAAACCGAATTATTATTTCAAGACTATCGTTAATTTATCGTAATGATATTTTTTTAGAAATCCGACGACGGCGCGGCGGACACAATAATTATTATTACGCGACGGTCGACATAACATTATAGTATAAATTATATTATATTACGATTACGCGAACCGAGCCGGTGTGACACATTTCGTATATTATAATAATTAAACCGAGGCCGCCCCCCGCCACCCACCCCCTGCCCGCCGCCCCTTTACCTCTCCGCGCCTCCATATCGTATAACGTGACCTTTAAGTGCCTAAATATACATATATATATATATATATATATATATATATATTACGTATTATACAGTTTTTCTTTTCGGTACAATAATAATTTTTTGTTTTTTTTTTTATTATTATTATTATTATTTCGTCCGACCCATTGTGGCCGAGGCGATACACCTATATAATACCTACGTAACATAATAACGTATACGATAATAATAAGTCGTCCGACTCACTTAACCGTAATTAACCATTGGCCACACGTTGGGGTTTTTTTTTTTTTTTTTTTTTTAATTTTTTAATTTTTTATTTTAACCTTGCAGTCGTCGACGACCGACCGCAGCACGTCCGACGATCGGGGACTGTTATCGTCGTCGTGAATTAAAAATATAATATCCGACGTCCGTTTACAATCGCACGCGCGGCGGACGGGGACGGGTCCGGTACGATATTTCGTCGCCGCGGTCGTAGATTTTGTTGGTTTTTTTCCCCCCTCCCCTCCGCCGTCGACGGCTCGGCCGCCGTCGGAGTTATTATTAAATTTTCACAATATTAACCGAACGGGAGCCGGGGTCGCCGGCAGCTGCGCCGATACCCAACAACGATAATGTACGTGGACGTCCGTCGACGGCGGCGCGCAACTCTTTCCTACCGGCGAATTTCCGCGCGCGCAGGACGGCGACGACGACGCGGCCGGCATCGTTCATTAAACGCCATTATCGGACCCGGGCGACGAGGCGCGATAATGTTACACGCGGCGGAGATTCACTCGCGATACACCGACGTACAGACGCGTTACGGATACACAATCGAACTCTAATTGGACGGCGACCTCTCTCTCCTCTTCTTCTATTTTTTTTTCTCCTCTCTCTGTCACTCCGTCTCTCTCGCTCTCGCTCTCTCTTTACGTTTCCCCCTCGCTCCGGGGGCACAGAATCCGCCGCCGCCGCCGCCGCCGCACGGAACGCCGGCGTACGCGCGGAATAACAACAGCGCACAACAGTCCGCCCGTATTTTTAATAATAATTCATGTACGACGCACGCCGCGACCGTGCGCGTACGCGTACGCGTAATAATATCAATTCTACGGTATAGCCGCGACATTGTTTCGCGGCGAAAACACTGCGGCGGCCGCCATGTTTTTGTGCGCGCGCTCGGGGACCGGATAATCGAAAATTTTCATTATTCGAATTACACTGCGCCGTTCGCGGGCGACCGGGGTGGGGCGACACGCGGTTATAATAAATGATGACGAGAACGGAACGCGCTTATAACAGTAATAATAATAATATTCGTTTAGAAAAATCGATCGATAATATAATATAATATGATATAATACGATTTATAATAACGTTACACTGCGGCGGTGTATTTTCGGGCGTCGGTGTACGACGGCGGCGACGAAGAGGAGGAAGAGGTGGATGAGGAGGAGGTGGAACGGCACAAGTCGCCGAACTTTGGCCCGGCACGAGCATATTATTATAATAAGTATACGTACGTATACGTGTGCGTGTATATACACGCGTATAATATTTATTTATTTTTCCCCGGCCGACGGGCGGCCATTTTGTCGGGTGTATATGCATTATGGACGATAACGCGCAATATCTGGATTAATATCCGAGAGCCGGTGACGGTTATTAAGCGGCAGTCGCCCCGTTCTTGTCGAAACCCGGTACGGTTTTCGGTCCCCGTTTAGTTCGAGTGTTCAACGTCCGGACGACCGGGACGCCCGAGTCACGTCCAATGAGATTTTAAAAACCCCGATTAGATTTGTCGATAATCGATTCCGTCAATACGAGCGCGAAACATTAAATTATAAACACGTGCGATCAATACTCCGTTTGTTTTGTTTTTACCGAGCGGACGTGTGCGCGGGACGATATTTTAAGGTGGACAAAGCGGAGTCGCGGTTTAATTTTAACCCTTATTAGTTTTTAAGGACGAACGTGTGCGTGAGAGAAAAACATTTCGGATGTCTTTTCGCCGTAACGGGTTCCTTGAAAGTTTGATTAGGCTCAGTCGCTTTCTGGGAACGCCTCTTAATTTTCGTTAAATTATAGTCCTTCGAAATTATTTTCCCTTTAGCCGCTGCCGACAAGGCTGATATTATGTACGCGAACGGGAAATTCGAAAAACGAAATCGGACGGAACGCGGACTGCGGGCAGGGAGACGGCGAGCTGGGTCCCGATAAAACTGTCCCCGTCACATTACGATGTCAGTTGCGTCCGATGAAAATTCCGGTATTGATTTAGTTTTATTGAATTCACGCATATAATGCAAATATCGAACAAAAGTAAACCTTAAAACTGTTCGGTGTCTGATAATTGTCGGTAATTGAAAAACAGAGATATCGAACTCCCAGTGATGTTTTATTTACAACTATAAACGTTCATAATGCTCGAGCTTCAGCGTTGACGAAATCGCCTGATACAATAGCAGAAGTTCACGAAGCTCTTAAAATCGTAGAATTTAAGACGAAATAAAGACAAATTTTTTTTTCAATAATACGTTGGACGCAAATGACATGCATGCTGATAAAACGCAATTTGTTTCAGGCACAACTTGCTGACGGTTGAGTAGCAGGTAATAGTTTAGGCTTTTTCAAAAATGTTTTTGATAAAACCGACGACAAACAGCTCGATACACAAGTCCGGGAGGACGCGACGTACGGTCGAGCGATTTTCGAACGCGCATATAGTTTTCCCGAAATGGTGTGAAACCGTATACACGTATATAATATATAGATACGATTTTCGGGCGATTAAATCGCCTCGTGTAGTCTCTGGCAGGCCGAAATCTCGGAGGGGAATGTCAAGACCCGTTCCGCCCCCGGATAAAACGCGGTCGATTTTGTGCGTTCTGCACACGAAACACACGCGGAGAAATGGTATAGAACGGAAAAAAAAAAAAAAAAAAAAAACGCTATTCGCAATTATGACAAATTACGCGATGGCGGCGGCGGCGATATAATTGCCCGGTTTTTTTTTCCCCCCAGTTTCCAAACACAAATTGCAGTCCATTGTTTGTATACGCGAGACGCGTGATTTACTCGCGAGTATGTATTATTATATTTTACAGCGTGCACGTGATATTGTGTATTATTACGGGAAAAAAGTGAAAAAAAAAAAATAAAAAATACCGAACGGATTGTGTGCGATGGGAACGTTATTATTTATTTATTTCGTTTTTTTTTTTTTTGACGTTTTTAATCGCCCGTCACGCGATTACAATACGCACACACCGAATTTCGTGTCTCTTTATTTCGCGCGCTCTTACGCTCGATAATTTGTCCGCGTTATCTATGCGCGGGTTAGGTTTTATAAATGTAGGTACATACGAAATGCCTATCGTGTCGGGTGAAAATCGCACGCGTCTAAATCGTCTTTTCTGGTTTCTCTCTCTCTCTCTCTCTCTCTCTCTCTCTCCCGCCGATAAAAATATATTATTAAAATATATACGCGCCGCCGTCGCCGTCGTGATATTAGCACGACGGTGTATCGCGAGCCGGTTTTTTTTTTTTTTTTTTTTTGTTTTTTAACTATCGTGTTTAACCGGGGGAAAAAAAAAAAAAATGATACGTATATAAATAACAAAAAGGCCGATCTATCGTCGGCGGCGAAGGCGGTATGCGTATAGAATTATGTCACGCCATCCGACTATTACAAAATTACAATATTGAAATCCGCCGTTTATAATGACACGGCCGTGCGATCTCTCCCGTCCCATACAGTGCTGCGTATACGCGGCGATGATGGATTGAACTCACGAAATTTCCGGGGTCGAATAATAATAATAATAATAATATAATATATTTGATTATAATGAAAAAAAAAAAAAATGAAATCCATCGCACGTTACCTTCCGGCTCGCGTTTCCGATTATATGGGTACGGTTGTTCTCGGAATAATTATTATATAATTTTTTTTTTTTTTTTTTAAATAAAAATGATATATATTATAGCTGTCCCGTCCGTGCCGATTTAATTCCTCGTTCCCTGTTCTTTTTTTCGACCATTTATTTAAAAGTAGGTTTAAAAAAAAAATGTAATAAAAAAAAAACCATTTCAAAAACCGAAATCGATAAAAGATTTAACGTGTATCCCCGGTTTCGCCCTCGTTTCTGTTACAGTTATTGTTAACCGTTGTTGTATGCGTATACGTCCTTGCTCGCGACAATCGAATTATTAACTATAATTAACACTATAACTGTTTTTTTTTTTTTATCCGTATCACCGAAGTATCCGTATCACATGTGCCGCCCCACCGTTAGGACTCGAATACGGAGTGGGAAAAAAAATGCAACAATGTTGTTCCCGGTCTGGAACTACGTATTTATGCAGTGTTTCAGCTCAATCCGTTCAGTATTGTCTGGGCGAGATGCGCGGATAACACACGTGCATCATCCAAACAAAACTTTCGCGTATTTTATAACATTCAGTACATTATCCACGGGATGTATAATGACGGTCGAGAAACGTAAACGTTTGAAACAATTCGCGATTATAGCGTCTCGGACGATGCGACATCGGAAGAACTGAAATCAAATGCGTTTTCGTTTTGTGCAGACAATATGTCCGGCGCGTTGAAATGTATTGTATTTTTGTCGAACCCCGTAAACCCGATCGGACGATGATTGTCTCAGAGTGATGGCAGACGCGTGCGGGGCAGCATAAAAAAAAAAAAAAACCTCGTTTTTTTCCCCTCCGAAATTATAGATAATACATAAATACGTTTAATGTAATTTATATTTATTTTTTTTTCTTCGACAAGGACTCTAGGCGTCGTCGGCGACGGTCGAAAATCCTTTACCGTTCCACGTCGTCGAAACCGCCGCGCGCGGTGCACGGTCCAAACTATTTATACGTGATTGGTTTTCAATTAATATCGGTTTTTTTTTTTTTTTTTACTTTCGGTGTTTCGTCGAAACAATTAATGGACGACCAGATCACGGACGAATCGCGCGCGTAGAATCCGTCACGGCTCGTATAAAATAAATAGATAACGACAACAATAATTATTTATTGCAGGCATTGTCGTCTTCGACGGAATCGTTGACGAGTGACGATCTTCGGGGGACGTGGATCGCGTACAACGCGTTCGTATAACTACTATGTAACGATAATAATAAGAATACGTAGTCTCGGTCCGCAACATCTATAAAGAGAGAGAGAGATAGAGAGAGAGAGAGAGAGAAAAAACGTTAATAATATTATCGTGTATACCATACCCATGTCGATTTTTTTTAAGAAGACGAGTGAAAAGACGCGGCGATTATTTCCGTTCGACGGGGACAACTTTGCGCGCTGTGCGGTCTCGATAACGGAACGAATCGACCAGCTGACTAGTCAGACTTAAGGGCGCAGACGGTTTTCTGGATATTTAAATTTTTAAACGAGCTACAGGAAGCTCCGTTGAGAAAAACGACATAAACGTTCTCACGTTCCAAGTCCGAAAGTCAAATAGAACGATTCGCTGTAATTGCAGTAGATTCGATCATCAGCGGCTCTTGACGAAACCAATGCGGCTCGGTATTCATTCTTTTGAAACAATACCGTTTAGAGTATCGAGTATATTGGTAGACAGTCTACCGACGACGCGTTTTATACCGTACATTACGGCGTTTTTCGTGCGTATACCCGTCTGTATACAATACGTATTGTAACAAACGCATCCTCCTGTATATGTACGTGTAGGTACGCATTATACGCGCGTCCGTGAGAAACCGAGAATATTACACCGCGGTATAGACCGGATATCGGAGACGCGAAATAATATCGTACGGCACACACATAGGTACCTATAGCTACCTACCTACCTATCTATATACTGTGTAGCAAGCCATTCGAAACGATATTTAGTATCCCTCGTTCGGAGCCCGTCGTGTGTTTACGAAAAGGGATCGGTTTTGTTGTTTTTTTTTTTTTTTTTTTTTTTTTTTTTTTGTCGTGTGACAATACGGCGTCGCCGCCGCCGTGGGGATCTGCTGGGAATTTGTTTTACCGCCATCAGCGATGATGAGTATGACGACGACGGCGGTGTACGCTGTGCGCAACAGTATTGCAGACGAGTGGCTTTGTCCGGCGGTCGGTATTACTGTATATTATGTACAGCGAAAGCGAAAAATAGGGACCCCGGCTTGCGCGCAGAAACAATTCGAAAACAAAAAAAAAACCCCCGAACGACGGACAATAAATATATAACACGGTATATATATATATATATGTGTGTACAATAATAATATTCTCGGTTTTTCGGCGATGTTTGAAACGTCAAAATAATGGGATTTGAACGCCGCCACGTGTTTGTGGCCCCTTTCTCCTCCCCCGACCGCCAATCACGCCCGTCCGAGTATGCTCGCGACTACGGGATTTCGATAAAATATAGCCGCGTATTAAAAATATCCCGTTTACGGCGTGTAGAACGAAAATAAAATTACAAAAAAAAGTTTTTTCTCCCCGTGACGATCGAATCTGCTGCAGCTTATCCGTTTTATTTTTTCATCCGTGTCGCCAATAAAGTTACCCTTGTAATCGAAAAAAAAAAAAAAAGGTTCGGTTTTATTCTGAAAATTGCCAAAAACCCCGTGTCGGCCACTCCCTTTAAGGATTAAATATCGGGAATCCGACTGCGAGGTGCGTATACCCGTCCATCGTGCATTTCTGTTCCTCTGCGTGCGACAGATCCGGACAAACCTTTTTTTATGAATCTTTGGTTTTGGGGTCGATTTTCTGTAGGTTTTCTAATACAAACGAATTATAACTGTCGAAAACGCACAGTATACATACGGTCGCGCTATTTAGACCGACAATAAAGGCGATCTCAAATTGCGCCGGACAAAATAACATTATAGAGGGGGGGGGAAATCGACTAGGGCCTTTCACACGGTAAGTCGCGATTCACAAATTGTACTGAAAAACACACAGCCGCTTCAGCGATTTGTCTGCGGGACCGCAATGCGGGACGTTGAAGTCTCGAACATCAATATCGCGCAGAGAATTCACGTATTTCGACCGAATCAGGCGGCGTTGTCGGAAGATCCGCGCGATTCGATTCCGACCAGGATTTCAAACCGAAACGCGATAATCGACACGGACCTGCAACGGTCGCGGGTACGTGCAGCGCGCACAGACGATAACGCGCCGTTTTTGACGCCCCGGCGTTTTCGGAGCCCGACAAAATTGCCACTTGTCGCGGGTGCCGGGCGGAGAGCGGCGAAAAGGGCCCCAGCCGCGAGGCCTCGCGCGCGCGGGCATAAGCGCGGGAGAGACGACAACGATATAATTATTGACGCGGTGACCGGCCGGCGGTCTGCGGCGGCCGCAGACGCTCATTAAAGAAAAATTATTATTATTATTATCATTATTGTTACTTTTTTAATCGTATCCACTCGGGGCGGCCCGGTGGAATTAAATTCGGCCGGGCGCGCGGGCAAACACACACACACACACACACACAGAAAATATAATATAATACCGCGTCGTTTTTTTTCGTCTTCTCCGTCTTTCGCCCCCCCCCCATCCCTCTCTCGTTCCCCCCGTACACGTATAATTTCCGTGACGCGCGCACGCACAAACGCGCGCGGACGTTGTTATTAGAAGCCGCCGCATCGGCGGCGGCGGATTTCTAATCACTCCGGTAAAAAACATTAAGTACGTGTGTGTAATTTCGGTCTGTTATTAACCCCGGTAGGTACCTATAATAATAATAATAATAATGATAATAATAATATCCGAGCCATCATTGCAGTACGAGTCGTACGCGGGATAAGTGCGCGGCGGAGATCTCGTTTAAAACGAAACGGCCGGGGAACTCGACACCGCGGCCGCGGTTAGGTTATAGGTTTTTCGGCGGAAACCCGCCGACCGTACGTAATATTAGGATGGACGAGAGAAAAAAAAAATAAAAAAAATAGAAACGATAATTAGGATTTATCGGGAGGTTATAATAACACGTGAATACGATTTTCTACACCACACGACGACGGTCTCACGTATTCGATTGTTTTTCCCGGGCTCGGCGATAGGGATTTCGACCGCACACACACGTAAAACATTACACGACGGCCGTTGCGGTTTTCGTATCGATCTGCGGGCGCGCCGATTGCGCGACGGTTCTTGTCTGTTATTATTGAAATGATATTCTCGGACACTGACGGCGGCGGCGGTCCGGATTAATCGTTAAAACGACAATGAAAATTTTAAAAAATAATTGAAAGTTAAAAACAAAAACCTCCGGGCCGCGACCCGAAACGCGAGTGGTTGTTTTTTTTTTATAATAACAATTTCATGGCTGGACATAAACGGTGGCGATGAATATTATGGAGGGCATAAAAACGGGAGGAAGAGATTATGTTGCGAAGGGCTGGACCCGGCGCTCGTAAAATACGTGTCCGAACGAGCTGATGCGAAAACGGCGACGGGGCGGAAAACGCGTTTGTTGATACGACGTTAGAATATGTTTACACATTCACCGTAACTCAAGTCGAGTGGATTTTAAACGGGAAAATTCTGGAAATGTAGACGGTTAAAAAACAAAAAAAAAAAAAAAATCGGCCCGGTCTTGCGGCACAGAATAATCGTCGGCTATTGTTTCGCCCGATTATAATTAACTATACTGCACTATCGGGTTTGTTTTTTTTTTTTTTTTTTGTGTATACATTATATATTTTTTTACTTTTTATTATAGTCATTACTCATTACGCACGAATATTAAAACGCGCGATTTCTCTCCGGATATATCTTTTGTTGTTCGCGCGCGCGCTTCGGCCTGAATAGTATTGATGTTTTTTTATTCTATTTTTTTTTTTTTATTATTATCGACTTCGTTCGCGGGAATGTTTTCGAAATTGTTATTACCTATATATTTATATTATTATACACACACACACACACACACAGGTTCGCGCGCGCACGCGGCTTACGGTTTTCCGCGTGCATCGCGCCGAGAACGAAATCGTCGGCGATTGCGTGTCCTCGGATTTTCGACGTTCATCCGGGAAAAACTCACGTCCGCGTGAAAATACACCCGAAATCCGCGTCGTTCATGTTTATTACCGTTTGTCGTTATTTTAGGTGTACGCACTATGAAACGATTATTCGACTGTATTGTTGTTACGCGGTTATACCGATGCCGCCGTGGCCAACAGAAGAAGACCGGCTACTCGTATTATATCATATTGGTGTAGCACACGTATCTGGTCGTAATTTTTTTTCGTGTTTTTTTTTTTTTTCTTCGTTTTCCCCCCGTCCCGTTCGACGAAATCCTTGAATACGATTATTATTATTATTATTATATTATTATTACCATTACGTATTTCGGGGGGGAAAAAAAATGACCACAGCGCTTTCACCGAACACCAGAAAACGCGGGCGCGTTATATAATAATAATAATAATTTTTTTTTTTTAAATATTCTTACCTTCTCGTGTATTATTTTATTTTATTTTCTTTTTCGTTTCTTTTAATTTTTCTCGCGTTTAATGCGTTTTTTTCCCTTCTATCCGTCGTCCGTATATACAACGTCGTAACACGAACGATTAGTTCCCCGTGCCCGCGTATAATAATAACAATAATAATGATAATAGTATTACTATATTATTATTAGGCATATTATACACGAGCTGGATGAAAAAAGCCTAGTACCACGGTTCAGTTATCCCGGTTATTATACGTATTATCATGTGTTATGCGGTCGGCGATGTGTGCAGCAGCAGCAGCAGCAGCAGCAGCAGCAGCTATAGTCGGCAACCATAAAACTATTGCGCCTATATGTACGGCGGTTGTTGTCCGAGGTTATAAACTCGTCGTCGTCGTCGCCGTGGAGAACTCGTCTCGTCAAAATCTACTGCTATTATACTTTACCAAATAATTACGTTATTACAGTCTAGTACGAGTATTCGTTTGTTTTTACCCTATATTTAAACGTACTTTACAAAGAAAAAACAAAACGAGACGTTTTTCGCCTCTGCTCTACTCTATCTAAAGCCGTCTAAGCGTCACGATTTCGCAAAGCGCAATACGGTTTACGCACTTAAGACACTGTTTTCATTCCGTAAAACGGAATCGTGGCCGACAATCGTGTCGTGTTGTTATAGAGCGGCGACTGAGCTTTGAACCCATTGAAATAGCGAAACGTCCGCCAATGTTCGATTGACGTTTTTTGTCGATTTTGTCGGTTTTCGCGAACGACGATAATCCGCCAGAGGAGGGCCGGAGTGAGCATCGGCCCCGGGCGCCATATTTCAAGAGGACGTCTTAATTTGTTAAAGACACCGTGAAATAGGTAGCAGTAGTTTTTTTTTATATATATATATATATATATAAACTCCAACCCGCAGTTTACACTCGCGGCGCCTATTTCAGAACAGACAAAGTGTGCGGTACAAAATGTCAAGTGCGCAGTTCGAAATTGTCGTAAAAAACCAAGAGTCATTATAAAAGCTAAAGAAACAGCGCCCCGTCCTAACACGTCCGCCAGCGTAAATACGTAACGCGGGGGGGGAAAAAAAACACGCCGCCGATCCGCAGTAAAACAGTTTACAAAAAAGACATAATTCGCACGACGTGTGGGCCGCTGCTGTAGGTGAAAAGTCGGGAAGGTACATATTGGGCCGACCAGAATAGAAAAAATCGCAAATGAACATCGTCGTAGCATAACCTATACGTTTCTAAACGCTGGACGAATAGGTATGGCGTACGATTCCTATACGCCGGAATCTAAACAAAAAAAACACGAAACGTTCCCGTCTACCGTTTTACGCCTTCGGCCGCCATTTTAACCGCGAACTATCGGCCGAGTATACAATACACAAATATTATTACGATTATTATTGTAATCGCCGTCGTGCCGTTTTTCCGGTCCGTATCGTAACCGTACGCGATAACGTGTGTTACAAACGGCGAACGGGTATTCAATTATTGTAATAACAATAATACACGCTCCCGCCCGCAGTGTGTAAGTAATATATGCAACACGAGCCGGCGAAAAAAAAATAAATAAATACGAATTACAATAATAATACGTAATGGCATGATCGTCTCGCGGGGAAACGGTAAAAAAAAAAAAAAAAAAAGGGGGTTTTTCTCGGCGAAGGGCATTTTTCCGTTGCGTTACTGCAACAATATACAGTGTGTACGCCGCGAGTAAGGTATTCTACGTGTACGCGACACGTACGGGCGGGTTTCAATATGCAAATGTCGCGTTTATCGCGCGCCCCGGGCGAATTACAATAATAATATCGTGTTTTTTTTTTTTTTTTTCTACCGCGTGCGATATACATAATAATAACAATAATCATACGGCTCGTGGTAAGCATTTAAATATTATGTTATTATGATATTGTCGTCGTCGTCGTCGTGGTTGCCGCACAGGCCGTACGCGTACAACTACGGGAGGCGCGACCCTCTCGAAAAAAAAAAAAACGCGAATTTCCTTTATCCGTCCGCGGCCCGTGCCGGTCATCAATCGCCGCAGACGATAATATTTTTTTATTGTTGTTGCGCCGTATGCAAATTACGGCATGTCGGCGCGGGCACGGGCCAATCCCCGGACGACACGCCGCCGGCGTTCCGACCCCTTTTTTTCTTTTTCGTTTTTTTTTTTTTTCGTTTTTAAAGCCCGCGTCGCGATTCGTCCTCGACCCGTGCGGGCGCCGCGTGCGAATGCGCCGTACTGATGACCAATCGAATATCGTTTAAAAAACACGGCCTACGCGTTCCGGGGATGAGGGGGGGGAGTGGGGACGGCTGGAGATGTGGCCGGCCGGCGTCACGCGAAATTCCGCCGAAATCATCGACACCGAGTAAACGGCCCTTTTTAGAGGGCAGTCTAAAGTTTTTATTTTACGATTTACGGTTTTTTCTTCCTTAATGAAACCGCGCGTTATTCTGCAGTGTATCTTCAAAACTTTTCAACCGACGAACGTAATTTTTTTTTAGTCTTACAGCTATATTGTGCAGTCTTATTAGTACGTATACACAGTTGAACCAAAAAAGTAAAGTTGGACAAAGTTATGTTTTTTTTTTTTTTTTTTTGTCGAAGATTTATATTCTTATAAACAATAATCTATCGGGCGCCCGCTCTCCCCGTCTGTTAAGAAAAAAAATTCCCCACAAGCGGATGATCGACTGAACCTATATGGACCGCTTGAATTTTCGACATTCTTCCTCACTCGCTCCGTCATCGAGATCACCTGTCTCGTGTACCAATAAAATGTATAATTTTCATTTTTGTTATGTATACGATTTTCGGTAAAACCTCGTAAAACGCCGGAAAAACAAACGATATTTATAAAAATACAAAAAGATTTCGAAAATTGCTTTTAACCGTTGAAAAAACCTAACCCGTATATATGTGATTTTTTTTTACATTTTTAATAAATTATACATGTGCGTTCGGACGGCGCGGTAAACGATTTGGCGTCCGTCCGTAGCGTCCGCGGGCTCCGCAGTCGCGAAACCCGAGGGCGAGGACCACAATTTTTCGGATTTCGGTATTTTTCTAGTTTATTTATTATTATTATCATTTTTTTTTTTTTTATAAATACACGTACGTTTCGCGAAGTGTCGTCTAATAAAGAAACAACCCAACATACGATATATTCTCGAAACGTGCGCGGTTTCCGGAATATCCTTTGACCTTGAAATATTACGCTTTTTTACACGAGTATATATATTATATATACCAGCGCGGTTAAAACGTGCGTACATTATTGTCGAGAAAGCTCGTCATTTTTTTTTTTTTTTTTTTTTACAGCATACGTGCAAAATAATACGCACACCACACACAAAACACACATACCCATTGTATACATATATATATACCTACGGGTACCGTATACAGTAAAATAAATACTAAAAATATCATGCAAAATAATAAATAAATAAATAAATAAATAAATAAATAAATAAAACACACGTGTAATTTTTTTTTCAAATATTTTCAAGTATATTTCGCATTATTGCCTTTTTTTATTTTTTTTAAATTTTTTTGTTCTTTTGTTTTTGTTTTCGTTTTGTTGTTTTTTTTTCGTCATTTTCATAATAACTGTCTCGTTCGAAAAAATAATAATATTATATAATAATAAACACTAATAGTAATGATTATAATAATAATAATAATAATATGTACACGTACAAAAACGAAAAAGGCAAATACATAATAAATAAAATCGCGAAATAATATAATAATAATAATAAAAATAATATATAATTCTTATTGTAATAAAACGTATAAAACTATACAAAACGTAAAAAATAACTAATATTAAAAATAATTACTACGCATTTTTACGATACGGTTTATATATATATATATTTTTTTTTTTGCTTTTTTCACTATCAATATATCTGGGAGAATGTAGGGGGGGGGAAGAGAATTGAAAAACGATACTAACGATCGCGTGAATGAAGGGATGAAGGGGGATAAGGGCGAGGGGTTGAAGTTTGTTATCCTATTCTATAGTATATACCTAACTGTTATTCGAATTGTTTTTTATAAAAAAATATATTTTACATTTATGTATATATATTATAATTACGAGTATATAGAATCAATCTATTTAATAAATGTTTTTATGCGCGCGCTATACGTAATATAATAATAATATATCAAGTATACGCACTATATATATATATTAAAATATACGAGTAGAATGGCGCTCAACGGTGAGTCTGTCGTCGTATATATAGCGATTTAAAAAAAAACACAAAAAAAAACATTAATATTAACAGTCAAAACGTAAACTTAAAAAAATCGTTATTATATATTATAGAAAAAAAAAAAAAAGTAAAAATACCGTAAATATAATAATATATTAATTAATCAATTAATTTTTTTTTTTTTTAATAATTACTATAATAATGATAGTATTAACATTTTATGTACACCAACGAGAAAAAAATTGATATTTTTCTCGCGACAAAAAGAGAAAGGCACAATAATAATACATATGATAATAATAAACGTATAACTATAATACTAAAAAAAAAAAAAAAATGATATATATAATATTATAATGGGTTTACAAATGGGTGTAAAAAAAAAAACCAGTGACGTGGAATCCTAGATAATAATAATAATGTATATATAAATATATACGACAGAGACACTATGTATATTATAATCTTATTATGGATAAGAGGGGGGGGGAATGAAATTTTTATCGAAAAAACATGTCTTTTGCGTCCGTATATTTATTATGTGTTACAAAACCATTATAAAACAGTCTTATGAAAAAAAAAAAAAAAAACCTTCGTGCGAGAAAAAAACGACGAAAACGCGTTAATATAATGCAACATCGAACACAACAATAATTTCTGAAATCCTGTACACCGATTATTGTGTATTGTATAAACGACGACGGGTGATTATGTCGAAAAACGAAAATTGCACGTACGCTTATTCGGCCATCGACTTTTCCCCGCCCCGCGATATTATTACTATCGGTTCATTTTTTTTTTTGCCTACGGGAGCCGAAGCCTTTGAAACAATCGTATACGCGGTATAAGTGTGAGAAAAACACAAATATAAAAAAAAAAAAAAAAAATCACCAAAATATTATACAATAAATAAAATAATACATAACGAGCATATTTCATGACCGTAATATGTGTAGCCGAAATGCCGAAATCGAATCGATAGTATAATAATAATAATAATAATAATAATAATGATAATAATAATAATAACCTAAAATATCACAATTCGTCTATAGGTATAATAAATATAATAACTAGAAAAAATTATAAAAAAAAAAAATGGTCAGACACCCTGCAAATTGTGTAGGCGTACATTATGATAATAATCATTACAGAAGCACACCGTCTGTTGGGCGCGTAACGACGATTATTCGAATGGAAACGTTATTGTTTTTTTTTTTTTTTTCTTTTTTTACGCATTATACGATAATGAATAAAAACGGAAAATTTTTTCGAAAACGATTTCTTTCGAATGTCGAACGTAAGAATTACCGCGTGATATCATAATATTATCATCGTTATTTTACCGGCGGCGGCGACTGCTGCGGTCGGATTTTGTTTTTGTTTTATTTAGAGAGAATTGGAATAAAAAAAAGAAAAACCTATTATCGTTATTGCGATATTAATTACAAGTGTTTTACACGGGTCCGCGCGAAACAATAACATAAAATACAAATAATACCTATACATATACCTATACACACACACATAAAAAAAAAAAAAAAAAAAAATTCTATACCGACCGAGACGAACGGTCTCGGGATAATAATCGTCAATGTCGAACAACACTCGTTTCGTTTTAAAACGAAACGCAACCGGGAAAATTAACATTCGTGTCGTCGTCGGATCGTCTGCATTGCGCAGCAGCCAGTGCTGCGGGTTGTTCGACGGCAGCGATGGTCGCGGTGTTGGTGGTGGTAGTTTATTTTTTCGAGGAGTTTGGATAGTTTTTTTTTTTTTTTTAAAAGTTTTTTTTTTTTTACACAAGTTTTATAGCTCATTTATCACTCATTTCTATCCTACAAAAAAAGCGCAAAACAAAAGAAAAAATAAATAAATTTTAAAATCATAAAAAAAAAACAAAAAAAATATAGCAAAATAATAATAATAATAATAATACATGCAAAATAATAATAAAAATAATAATAACGCTAATAATAATGACGGCCAAAAAAAAAAAAAAAAAAAAACGAAAATTTCCCACGGACGACAATAACGGCGCCGGCGAAAACGACTGCCCGTTAGGAATTCGGTTCCTGTGCACCGTCGTCTCCGCGCCCGTCCGCACCGCCGCGGCGCGATAACAATTGACGGAAATCGGAAAACGCGTTTTCGCTCCGTTTTTTTATTTTTTTATATTTTTCTCCAACGCCCGTCGCTCGCTTACGCGCGTATGTCCTCTACGCTGGCGCGGCGTTCGACCCACGGGACACCACGGCGGGTTCGCGGTCGGAGGACGCGGCGTTTTCGCTGGCCCCCGCGTCAGTTTCTCATTC